TACGTATATTTTTATTTTGCGTCATCGGATTTTTCTATTGAATATAATAAAATAAAAATGTGCCAGAATTTTACATTTTTTTTCCAAAACGCACTATGGATTATCTCCATACTGCAAAAATATTTACATTCTAAAGATCTATAAGCAATGATATTGATTTCATTTACGTCTATCATTCTTACGCTGAATGTAAAATCTCTACTTTAGAAATATCTAATATGTTTGATGCTTACTCACAAGAAAATGCTTAAGATACAGAGATACAAGCTACTCAAACTGAGCAGAAAAGTGAAGAAACACTTGCTTACGAACCATTCAAAACAGTGATAAGATTAATATGAATATTGTTCATTATGTACCATAAATAACTAATAAAAATCATAAATGAAAAATAATACAAACTATATTCAATCACGATTAGATTAAAGATTTGTAAAAATTTGCTTGTATATATTTTATTGACGAAGATTCACATAATGATGTCCATATACACTGGTGTGCAAAAATTAAGGACGAAGTCGAAAAATTAGCATATCAGCTGAACGAAGAGGCAGAGCGGACAGAAAGACCAATCAGGAGATTAAGTAAGGTAATATACGGTAGCACATGCGCAGATATAAAGGTAGAAGTAATGGGGGAGTGTCTGAGTAGTATAAAGCATGTTGTCGGTGTAAGATCAGTATTTCTGGCAAAGAGATTGCACGCCGTATAGCAGTTAAAATCACATCGAGTTGCTGCCTCAGCGAGAAATGGCGAATAATCAATCTGTTAGACGACATCTGGATGCTTTTACCCGAGGTCGAATCATTGGGAAGTGGGAGGAAGGCCGCAGTGTGACAAGTGTGGCTGCAAAGTTCGGAATTGCTCACAGCATCGTTTCACGACTTTGGAGACAATTTCAAACTACAGGAACAGCTATCCGGGGGTTCAGTAGTGGTCGTCCACGAGGAACCACACCCGCAGATGACCGGTACATTGTCTTACAGGCCAGAAGAAACAGGCGACAGACAGCGGGAGAAATCGCTAGACACACGACACAGGCGACTGGACGACCGATATCGCGTTTTACCGTGGCCAGAAGACTGCACGGTGGTCGTCTGTTTGCACGACGCCCTGTACGGTTGTACCTTTAACGCCTGCCCATCGGAGAAGGCGTTCTCTGTGATGCCGGGAACACCGGAATTGGAGAGACAATGAATGGGGACGAGTACTCTTTACAGATGAGAGCAGATTCAGTTTGAGTAGCGATTCTCATTCATCGCATACTCATCTGGAGAGAGCGGGGAAGCCGCAATCATCCCTCGAACATCATTGAAAGGGACAGGTAAGGAGGTCGCGGTGTTCTCGTTTGAGGAGGCATCATGCTTGGTAGTCGTACAAACCTTCACATCTTTGACGCAGGTTCAGTCAACGGTACCCGTTATTGTAACGAGATTCTTCTTCCATATGTGCGTCTTTTTAGAGGCGCTATGCGTCTGCAGTTCCTTTTCATGGACGACAATGCACCATGTCATCGCACAGTAGCTGACAAACAGCTCTTAGAGAGTGAGGATATTGAACGTATGGATTGGCCGGCACGATCTCCGGATCTCAATCCCATCGAGCATGTATGGAATTTTCTAGGCAGACGCTTGGCAGCTCGTACCTTACCACCAGTAACGATTCGGGAGCTTCGATTGGCGCTGCAAGACGAATGGGCAGCAGTGCCTCAACAACTCATTGACACCCTCATTCTCAGCATGGGCAGACGCTGTGAAACCTGCCTAGCAGTCAGGGGAGATCATATCCCCTACTAAAGACCGGATGTTTCTTGCTGGACACCCATCACAGGGATGTTTCGGCCTTCAGTCGCATTGCGCTCCATGCTACTTTTTCAATCAAGTTTCTTTTTATCCCTCTGATTTCTCTTTTAGTAAGTGTTGCTTACATTACACATGTTCTTACGTATTGGTGATCTTACGGTATTAAATGTGTTGATTTGGAAAGCTTTTGTACAAAGTTATATTGAAAAAACCGTCTCGTCCTTAATTTTTGCACACCAGTGTATATTCAGGAGAAAAATAATTCACGCACTTACTCACTCATCCAGAGATTTCTGAAACTATCAGACCTATTGACTAGAAATTTTGCAGGCATGTTCCTATTGTTCTGTAGATATCCTCTAAGAGCAAGTTTAGTAGAAATTGACCCTCGAGAGTATTACCAAAAAATATTTCAGCTTTTTATGTATTAGACCTGCAGACCTTAAATTTTGCAAGTCCTTTTTTCGTTGTTGTTAAGTAGAAATCTGCTAAAAAGGCATTTTATGGATATTCGCTTCCAAGAAAGTTACGGGATAGTTGTAGATCGAAATTCCCGATTCTGAAATATTAAACCTACAGATCTGAAACTTGGCAATTCCTTTTTGTTGAGTATAGATCTGGGAAGAACGAGTTTTGTAAAAGTCCTGTACCGAAGGTTGTTTTGTGAAATTAAAAGATGGTATGGATAAAATTTTCTGTTTTTGAACTATTAGATCTACAGTTTAGAAATTTGGCAATCATGATTCATTTCTTTAGTAGAAATCCTTTAAGAACAGTATTTGAATAAATCGACGTCCAATGAGGCTGCGGGGGAAGGAGGATTATGGTTACATTACAGATAAAAAAAATTCCATTTTTGAACTAGTAGATCTACATATGTGGGAACCCCCCCGGGTTCCACCCTGGACACTAAGATTAATTTGAGGCAAAGAATGACCAGACGCCATTTGTATAGTAATAATTTATATCTATTCACTTGTTCAAATATCAAAAATCTAATAACAAATAATAGGCAATATGTCTACGTCAAAAAGGGATTTACCTTTAATATTAAATTAAATTATGAAATAGGAAATTAATCAATAACTACGCGCAATATCAGTAAGGTCTACCGGAATAGGAGGTCTGAGAAATACACGCAACTCTTGAATTATTAGTTTTCATTAACTTAAACTAATTTTATTAAACTAACGCTTTTGGTAAGCGGTATTAAACTAGAATATATCACCTGGTAGTACTTTGATCTCTTCACAGGTATATTAACTTCCTAAGGTTCCTTCGCTGAGTACTAACAGCAATGCTTCACTATCGTAATCCAATTGAATCCTATAAACTTTGTCACTACTGCTGCTGGCTCAATTGCCTTCACCTCCGCTAACTTACAACGCTCTATTTAAATACCCTATCTACTTTACATATCCCGTTTTCTCCTTTTAGAGTTGATTGGAAATATTCGCGAATTTACAATCCACAAAGACGCCTAAGAATATTAGGGGAAAGGTTCCGTAAAGATTCGTCACACGTACTTGAAATTTGGTAAGCATGTTTCTTTTGCTGAGAAGAATTCCATGAAATATGGGTTTGGAGGAAATTGACTCAGGGTGTGTGGTTATGGGGGCGTTAAAGATAAATATACTTTTTTTCGCTTTAGAGAGAGAGAGAGAGAGAAACTCAAGATCTTTTTAAATCCAAAATGCATGAGCTATTAGAATATCTTTTTATACAATACGACATCATAAAATACTTCGCACAAAGAGCAGTATTTTAAAAAAATCAACAATTGGAATTCAAAATCTTTTGCCAATATGTTCAAATCAAATGTTTTTAATGAAAAGCGATATGAAAATAGCAAAGCAATAAAACGAAAAGAGAAGAACAGAATTTAAGAAAATAGAATTCATTTTGTATCTTAATGCTTACACTTGTCAAACAATAATCTCAAAAGTAATATATTTTTTATTTTTACAACATATCTGGTGTAGTTATGATTAAAAATTAAATGAAAAGTATTTTTACTTAAAACGAGCAGAATTGCTGTACATCACATTTAGATAATTAGTCCATAGTCTAAATTTCACAAGTCGGAGTTGTTTCCTGTCCTATTTCTAAAGACAGCCGTGAAAGGAAACAAAATTGTAAATGACTTAATTAGCTCATATATCAGCTGTGACATAGTGAAATATAACAACTGATTTTTAGGTGACATGTTCCATTTCTATAAACAAAGTTCTGTTTACATATTTCTAAGAATCTTCTCGTGGAATGGTTTAAATGGAACTCTATAAAAATGCGTCAATTTTTGTTTCATTTTGTAATACTTTTATAGTGTGGAATATTTTAATATGAATTGAAAAGTTTTTTAATGATGATAGCATATTTAAGATGATATATTCCTTTCCACATCCTTATTTTGATGCGTCTCTTTTTTGTCTGGATTGTTCAAAAGGTTTTGCAAATTACTCTTGAAAATTATGCGAAATGCCCATGCTGAGTATTGTATTGAATACATATACTAAAATATTCTAGTGGACAATATAAGAATATTTTTCATTTAATTTTGTAATATTTTAAAGTTTCTTTATCTAGAATTAAGGTGTGCTTTTAAAAATCCTACAAAATGTAATTTGCTTCGAATATTTGGTACTAGTCTAATTAAATATTGAAAGGAAAACCTAGTAAAATATGTATAATTTTTCAACGTAAAAAGTTTATCTAATGTGATTTGTTTTTCTACATCCTATATATTAAATATTTAAAAAATGCTTACAAATTGTGTTTAAGAGTAAATCTATCTATCAGTTTAAAGAATCTATCAATTTAATGCTATGACTTAGAGGCATTTGAATTTTCATGAACATTTAAATGTTTCTTTATACCACTGCAGAAAATCATAATTGATTTTTGAATTACTTGTATTTGTATATTTTTTTTGATTATAAACACTTTATTCAAAATCACATAGAATATTGGAACAAAAGTATATGAAGGTAGTTGTTGTCGTGTGTTTATTACTGGGATACATACGAAAGACGTGAGACAGATGAACATAAACATATAACACAACCACAGAAGAATACAGATTTTTATTACAAACGATGATCCCAGCATATAACAAGAAGAGGTGCGCTGCTTTTCCTTTCGAGACGGGAATCCATTTCAAGCGAAAGACCGACTTCTTTCCCAAAGAAGATACAACCATGTCTTACTCGGGATTCGAACCCGAACCCACTCGGTTACAAGCCGAGGGACCATACTGGCTGGGCGACATATGAAGGTAGTACTAATATAATTTGTAACTATTAATACTTAATATAATTTGTAACTATTAGTAACACAACTATTATTTGTTCTCTTTGTAAAAAAAATGATAAGGCGAAACGAAACAGCTTACTTTTAATTTAGTGTTGCGTTAACTTTTAAAAAAAGATTGGAAACTCAATCTCTTTTTTCTGGAAATAAAGATGTACCAAAGGATAGTAATATTTGCCGCTATTTATCCTTAAAATTCAGAAACATTGGTGCCTATTAAACTATTTTCAATACCATGTGAAGTTGAGATTTCATTTGTCCTAAAATTATAGGAAATGAAAAATGGAACTTATTTTAGGTAAGAAAAACAGTTTGATTTCAAACAGATATGAGATATAGAATAGCAGAATATGTTTCTCTCCGTACGATAGTGAAGTAAAAATATACTAGGTATGAAAAAAGTATTTTGTGTGAAGAAAGACTTATCGTACTTATTCGAATCTAAGCCTCCATCAATTCTAAGCCGAATAGCGTTCGAATAGCAGAAGTGAACTCACCTAAGAACTGTGGTCCCAAGTATCATGTTGATCATTCACATAATTTGCAATCATTTGCATAAGATCGCGATTCACCCGTTCGGTCCTATTCGCCTGAGGTCTATATACAATAGTCTTCACGTGCCTTATGCCTAATCTGTTACTTAAATGTTCAAAAATATCGGATATAAATTGGGGATCGTTATAACATATTAATTTTACTGGAGCTCCATAACGCGATATATAATTATAAAATAAACTATCAGATATTATTCGAGCCGAGGCTTTTTTAAGGGGTATGATTTCAGTTCACTTGCTGAAATGATCCGTAATTACTAAAACATATCGGTTACGTCTTACTCGCGACACAAGATACGGACCTAACAAATCTAACGTTACTATCTCGTTTGGATAATTTGAGATTATTGGAATTTAGCGACCAGCTGGTAACGCGTTTTCATAATTGTTAACCTGGCACATGGGGCATGTAGAGACGTATTGTTCAATAAATTTTCTCATATACGGGAAATAACAAATGTCCCTTATTTTATGGTAAGTCTTAAAGCGTCCTAAATGACCTGCTATAGGCTTGTCGTGAAATTCTCTAATTATTTCATTTCTTAAAGACTTCGGAATGTAGACTCGCATTTCACCTAGCGCATAGATCGGCATAATTCTTAATAAACTTCGAGTACCACTGGGACATTCTTTAAAATTTGGATACCTCTTTAGAATTATTTTGGGGTTTCATCTCAACTATAGCTCGAACCTTTGTATCGTCCGTTGCAATTCCATCCTTACTAATTATCAAACCTAAATATTTCAATTTATCACAAACAAATTTACACTTTTCTTTGTTCAATGTTAATCCTGCTTCCTGTAATAATCTAAAAACCTCTCTTAAATGTTCAACATGGTGAGTGAACGATGGAGACGATATGATTACGTCATCCATATAAACATTCATAAACCTTCCTATCACTGGTTTCAAAATAATGTATATCGCCTTCTGAAAGTTGGGAGCCACCCCTGACAGCCCGAACGGCATACACTGGAATGCGTACGTTCCATTTTTCGTTATGAAGGCCGTCTTAATTATATCACTTGGGCTTACCGCGAGTTGAAAGTACCCCGATCTCAGATCCAGGATCAACTTAATTCTCGTATGGGGGATATTCGTTATCAAATCATCAATTAAAGGTAAGGGATATCGTGGAAAATTTGAAATACCATTCAGCTTTCTGTAGTCCACGTCAAATCGATACGCTTCCGGATTATCCGGCGGTAACCCATTATTTTTTCTACACAACACAACCTGTGACGCGTACGGAGATTGAATCGTTATTATGGTTCTCTCTTTCAACATTTTCTCTATATGGTAGTCTAAAATGCTTTGCTTAACCCTGTCACAACGATATGGCCTAGAAACAACTGGTGGCTTATCCCCCGTATCAATCTCATGGTACAAAACATGTGTGAGCCGCGGTTTGTCTGAGAACAATCCTTTAAAACTATTAAATAAATCCCGCAACTCCTTTTTCTGACTTTCTTCCAACCCTGTTTTAGTAAGATCTATTTCCGCATTTCCTTCCTCAATCGTTGTAACAACTTTTTCAATCTGTGAATCCGGGATTGCCAACGCTTTCCGATCAAAATCTAAAACAATCTTCGATCCACTAATGAAGTCAACACCGAGAATACATGGGTATTCTAAATCTGCCAACACGTGAAACATCCAAAATTTTACAAATTCTCTGATCCGCACATTCAATTTAATTATACCAACGTTCCGACATGTCAACGTTCCCTGTGCCGTGATCACTTGATCACGCGATTTTTTCACTTGCTTATAAAAAATATTTCCTATATATCCTCTGATATAAATGATTTCTCCGCACCTGTGTCCCATAAAACTTTCGTAAAAGTTTCATTTAACAAAATGGGAACACATGGAAGTTCCACCGGAGACATGCATATAGCAGATAATTTAATTAGAACCTCTTTTACCGACTGCGCGACTGATCATTTTGATCATCTTTAACCTTCAAAACATTTAATCGACCCCCTTGCCTTTGATTACCTCTACTAAAATTTGTACTCGAACCCCTATTTCTACGGTCCCCTCGGCTAAAATTTTCACTTTGAACTCTATTACCCGACTGGTATCCTCTATCAAATCTTCGATCATCCCTATTCCGTTCATTCCTGCTCTCGAACCACTGATTTCTTTGACGACCAGACTCGTAATTACCCTATAATTAGTTCTGCCATTACTCGGTCTATGTAATCTGTCTATCGTCATGATTAGATCTACTCTCATCTCAACCTCGTCGTTCAACATTACCACTATTTTTCGAACCCTGCCTTTTCTTGTGCGAATATCTTTCTTCGAATTTATCTAATACATCTAACAACTGAACTGTTGTTGTCGGGTTCCTAACCTCTACGTAATCTTGAACCTGTGGTTCGAGGCGAACAAAAATATGGTTCACTAAAGCTTCTTCGAGCATACGAAGTTCCAGTTTTTAATGTACTTTGAGTTGATCATAAATAAAATCTGTCGGATCCTGATCCCTGTTCTGCTGGGACGCATAAAACTGAGTTTCTAAATCCTTTCTATTACGGACAACGGGGAAATTTTTAGTTAAAGCCGCCTTCAATTGTGCGAAGTCCGTGGCTGTATTTTGCACTAATCCTGACCCAAATATGTCATACAAGTCGCGAGACCTTCCAAGGAGATGGCCTTTCAAATATGCACATGATAAATAAATCATCAGGTATCTCTAGTACTTTAATCTGATTATCGATGCCCTCAATAAAATCCTCCACATTCTCGGACCCAGAAAAATATACCTCCTGACACCTCCTAACCCTGCTACACCTCCTAACTCTGCTACACCTTCTACCTCTGGGTGAGGGAAATTAAACTGGGATGGGCGCTATTGTGAGGTATTCGCCCGTGAGTTATACCTTACTCCTAAGTTATCTTCATGACCTAGAGGTGTGGGAGTGAATGAAGAACCAGGCGTTGCCATGATCTTAAAATGTCTTTATTGATATTAACTTAAACACTAACAATGATAATATTTATATTATAACTAAGCGGATCTGAGGAGAGAAAACACACAATACGTATTACCAAATAACCGATCTTAACCAATATATTTAACTTTCCCGTCTATTCCTAATCTCTGTTTAAATCACAGTTACTCATAGATGCTAGAATTATCCTACCTTAATCTCTTGTTTAACCGCAATCCTCTCGAATCCTAAATATCTTTTGTTTATCTCGCGTGGAATTGTATCCACCTTGACTTGATCGTTCTGTCACGGATAGCTTCACACTCAATGACGGCTTTCTTCTCTTCCTTCAGTTTACACTCTTAAACCAGACTAGCATAATCACTCCCCCATACGTCATAAGCTTACGTTAAACTTCTGCCATTTAAAAGGTTTCTAATTTGCATATTCGCGTTTCGCTTCTGGATTTAATTGGAAAGAATTTGCCTTTTTTGGTCCCAAAGAACCCAAGAGGAGTTTTTAGTAGAAAACGCGATGAGTCCGTCACAATCTTTTTTCGAGGCACCTACTGAACCTTCTCACTAAAAACCACCACGAGAAAAAGCAATACCAGTACTTCGAAATTGAATTCTGTTCTGATTTTATATAACGCTTGTTGCTGACCCTACATGCACCCATGATGTTCATCTAGGCTGAAACGCTAGTAATGGGCATATTCCATTGCGGTATACACACGAGGAAATTTTCATGTGATTCAGATGCGTCATCCATGTCACGTGACATTTTAGATGATCAGCGGTGTACTTCAATTGCTCAAAAATATGTTACTTTTTTGTATGAATGTTATTTTAATCCATCAGAGCAACTTATAATTTGGTTAATTAAACTTATTTGTTTCAAAATGCTTCTTATTCTTATTCAATTCAATTAATTTTATTTCAGATAATTTTAAACTACTTACTTATTTCAAGAAAAATGTTTTCAAGACAAACTTAATACACCACACCTAAGATAACTCTAAATAATTGGAACATATTGCTAGAGTAATTCTTCGCAAGAAAATGTTCCATGTTATTCTTTTTCTCCATACTATTCTTAATTGCTTCAAAGTAATTAAAGTTAATGAAGTATTTGATAATACTTTTAAATACCAGAGAAATTATTGACAAATCGAAAGTTCGAAATGGAATAGTATATTTGTGCTACCAGAATATTCTAAGACTTAGGTAAAGTTTCTTTACTCTTACACGATAGTTGTCGCCAGTAATGAAAGAATTCTGGAACTAACGGGCGAAAGAGATGTGCTGTCCATTGTTTAGAATCACAGTTATGGAGATGACCCTCTACTCTTCTTGCTTCATTGATATGCTTTTGGTGTGCCTTACAGGAATAAAGGAAAAATGAGTCGGGTTGAAACATTCCAGCAAGATTCATATCTAAAATTTTGGCAGTTGGAATCA